ACCAACTACGCCACGCTTCACATGGAAGTCTCGCGAATATTTAGCTTAATACACCTACTCCCGGTTAGTCGAAAAAACTTATTTTGGTCCTTTGTGGGTTTACTAATTAGTCTATAAAAAATTCCATTATTTCAGTTGTTTTTTATATTAAACTCTAATTCCCGACCGAGTTTGAAATTTATAGGTTAATATTATAGGGAGTTACGGGGTGTGATGTGTGCGTGCCCCCTGATACGACTTTTGTTCCTTATTCAACCATTATTCGCTCTTTAACAAAGAAAAATAATTCTTTTCATATACAGAACACTTTATTCCCTTAAAAATATTGAAAAAGAAGTTAAAAAAATAACATAAAATAAAATAAATCAATAAATAAAAATTACCATACATTTATTCGTTTATTAGCTATTATCTGCTATTTCCCAAAGAAAAAATAGTTATTTTTATATACAGAACACCTGTTTTGCGTTATTATATTCGAAAATTATATTTAAAAAAATAGTGTAAAATAAATAAAAAAAATTTAAAATCGACTCTTACAGGGCTTCGAACCCAGGACCTCTGGGACTACACATCAACCTTGCACACAGCGCTACCAACTGCACCACGCTTCACATGCCAGCCTCGCGAATATTTAGCTTAATACACCTACTGCCGGTTAGTCGACAAAACTTATTTTGATCCTTTGTGGGGCCACTAATTAGTCTATAAAAAATTCATTTATTACAATTGTTTGTTATATTAAACTCTAATTCCCGACCGAGTTTGAAATTTATAGGTCAATATTATAGAGAGTTACAGGGTGTGATGTGTGCGTGCCCCCTCATACGACTTTTGTCCCTTTTGCAGTCATTATTCGCTCTTTGACAAAGAAAAATAATTCTTTTCATATACAGAACACTTTATTCCCTTAAAAATATTGAAAAAGAAGTTAAAAAAATAACATAAAATAAAATAAATCTATAAATAAAAATTACCCTATATTTATTCGTTTATTAGCTATTATCCGCTATTTCCCAAAGAAAAAATAGTTATTTTTATATACAGAATACTTGTTTCGCGTTATAATATCGAAAATTATATTTGAAAAAATAGTATAAAATAAATAAAAAAAATTTAAAATCGACGCTTACAGGGTTTCGAACCCAGGACCTCTGGGACTACACATCAACCTTGCACACAGCGCTACCAACTGCACCACGCTTCACATGCCAGCCTTTCGAATATTTAGCTTAATACACCTACTCCCGGTTAGACAACAAAACTTATTTTGGCCCTTTGTGGGCCCACTAAATAGTCTATAAAAAATTCCTTTATTACAATTGTTTGTTACATTAAACTCTAATTTCAGACCGAGTTTGAAATTTATAGGTTAATATTATAGGGAGTTACGGGGTGTGATGTGAGCTTGCCCCCTAATACGACTTTTTCCCTTTTTCAGCCATTTTTCGCTCTTTAAGCTAAATATTCGCGAGGATGGCATGTGAAGCGTGGTGCAGTTGGTTGCGCTGTGTGCAAGGTTGATGTGTTGTCCCAGAGGTCCTGGGTTCGAAACCCTGAAAGAGTCGATTTTAAATTTTATTTATTTATTTTATATTTTTTAAAAAAATATATTTTCGATATTATAACGCGAAACAAATGCTCTGTATATAAAAATAACTATTTTTACTTTGGGAAATAGCGGATAATAGCTAGTAAACGAATAAATATAGGGTAATTTTTATTTATTGATTTATTTTATTTTATGTCATTTTTTTTAACTTCTCTTTCAAAATTTTTAAGTGAATAAAGTGTTCTATACATGAAAAGCATTATTTTTCTTTGTTAAATAGCGAATAATGGCTGAAAAAGGGACAAAACTCGTATCAGGGGGCATGCACACATCACTCCCCGTATATTAATCTATAATATTAACCTATAAATTTCAAACTCGGTCGGGAATTAGAGTTTAATATAACAAACAATTGTAATAATGGAATTTTTTATAGACTAATTAGTAAATCCTCATAGGGCCAAAATAAGTTTTGCTGACTAACCGGGAGTAAGTGTATTAAACTAAATATTCCCGAGGCTGGTATGTGAAGCGTGGTGCAGTTGGTAGCTCTGTGGGCAAGTGTGATGTGTAGTCCCGGAGGTCCCGGGTTCGTAACCCTGTGAGGATCGATTTTAAATTTTTTTTTTATTTATTTTATATTATTTTTTTTATATAATTTTCGATATTATAACGCGAATCAAGCGTTCTGTATATAAAAATAAAAAATGCAGAAGCGTTGAATCAGACTCGCAATACTTAATCCAATTTTAAACTATTGCGTCCGATTGTCGTTAACAATCACTTCTAGCGGTTCCCATGATTAGAGTATGGCATCAGACTATCCCACATTTGATTTAGGACACGCTAAGTTTAGGCAGAATTAAGTGTTCAGAATTAAGTGTTCAGAATTAAGTGTTCAGAATTAAGTGTTCAGAGTTCAGTGTTCAAAATTAAGTGTTCAAAATTTAGTGTTCAGAATTCAGTGTTCAGAATTCAGTGTTTAGAATTAAAAGAATTAAGTGTTTTTCTGAGACGGAGACACCCACAATATTCAATATACCGTAATACATTCGAGCTCTTCTTTACTGGAAATACAGAGCTATAAGCTAACGCATAGCGCGCGTCGCACTTTTCTACAATATGTTTCTACAGCAACAAAGCTTTCTGTTTTGTAATCATAAAGCAGTATGATTTCGATAAAACTTTTATCTTTGTTATCTCTTTTATTTGACTGATAAACTGTGGATTGTGTCGTGAAGGTGTAAACTCTGTATTATCGTGCTGATAAATATGTGTGAAGCATGTGCGGTGGCTATGGATGACAATTTCAAAATCTTGAAATGAGAACAATGATTTTAGATCTTAACTTCATTTTCTTGACTCTTGTCATAGGGGCATTTGCTTTAGGCTTATATTTCCGTAATTCAAACATTAATCGCTTTAGTTTATATGTGAGTACATTAAAATATTTCTATTGTGTGATATTTCCATTGAAGATTTTTAAGCAGTGTTGTGTTTTATTACGTAGAAATACACCAGTATGTTTGCAGTTATTGCTGATGGAATTCTTTACGTGATGTTATTCAATAATTTAGAGTAATCACTCGTCCCTTTTAAATAGGATCACTACTCAGTTATATATGCTTGCCCCTATTACCTTTGCCTTTTTGTTATTACATTTTGTTAAAAAAAATTTAATAAAGTGTATTCAAATTAAAAACGACAACGCTAAGAATGTGTTGTGCAGGGTATCTGTTGCATTTTAGATTTTCATGAATAATTCCAAGAATTTTCCTGACTTACCGAAGTTACTATTTTCTCCACAAAGACACAACAATAAATAATAATAATAAAAAAAAAGCTTTATAATAACATTAATTGAAATGATGGGTATAACAGAAACTGTTATACTCTGCATCTTCATATTTACAGATTTTAAACTTAAAAAATAGAGTAACGAATGAGTCGAAGCAATAAAATAGCTGAAAAAATATACAAAAGCAAATAATTAAATACTGTCAGATACACATAGTTATTTAAAACTCTATTATTTCTTCTTTAAAGTAAGTGTAATATAGAAAGCCTAAACTAGAATTTTAAATTGATAAAATATAAAATTAAATAATAAATACATAAAAAAATTCTGAAATCACAGAAGTTTAAAAGATAATTCGCTCTAGAAATGATGTTACTTCTTTATTTTTTGAAAGCACACCATAATTTTTAAAGAACAGGATAAAAATATTTTATATTTTAATCGAATATGACTATGAGGGGGATTTTGGTACAAATTTAGACATTTGGAACACTGAAATTGGGAGGGGGGTAAATTTCATTTTAAAAATTAGATTTTTCAGTGACCTGAACCAATGACTTTACATTATTTTTTTATAAAAATAGTTAAAATAATGACATATCATGACAAATTTTGTTCAATACCGAGATCCATGATTTTTCATGACTTCTCCCGAAGCATATTTAAAAATCTTCTGTGTCAATTTGTGTTAGCATATTTATTTAACAAAAGTAGATATTTTGTCTTGAACTGCATCTTAAATAGTGTAAAAATTGCATAATTTCTAATATTTTTATCGCTCTTTCCTTTAAGAACTGTTAGCAGTGGTGAAGGTGAGGTGAAAAAAAAATAAAAAAGAAAATTGTCATCTAATCATATTTCCCACTTTCTCAATAAAGTGGTAAAAGAAGTTGTAATCTAGTTATGATCCCCATGTTCTAAAATGATACATTTCAGCATTTAATTTTTTTAAGGAAGTACAATGAAAAAAAAATACATTCGATTTATCTTACTTAGATGCAAATAATATGTTTATTTAATTTTAATTGGTTAAATTTTTTCTTTAAATTTTTCTACTTTATGTTGAATTTTTAGTTGTTTTTATTTAGGAAGGAGGCTTTGCTGTGGTTGAATTAGTGAAGGTTTTAAAAAAGGTAGCTATTTTTCCATTATAAATATATTTTCATATTTGTACTATATAATTGCTAACAACATTAAACTTTATACAGGGGTGATTGCATTCCGGGGTTACATCGGAATTCCAGTTTTTTTTGGTTTGCTTTTTATTTTCGTATTTACATGATTTAAAAGTTATACATTGTGATTAGTATTTACACAATTTTAAAAATCCTGCATTGTGATTCATATTCATGTGATTTAAAAGCCAAATATCGCGATTGGTATCCATGCCAGTTTAATATCCAATATTGAGATATATATCTTGTCATAACAAAAACGATTTTTGTATTTATACATGATTTAAAAACTATATATTGCGATTCGTATTCCTGCGATCTAAAAATTATGCATCGTGATTCGTATTTATGCAATTTAAAAATTCAATATCGCAATTTGTATTTTCGCGTTTTTAGAATCCATTATAGCGATTCATATTCATGAGGATTTTAAAGTCCAAATAGTGATTCTTGTGATAAGTAAGTGTTTTCTTGGATTAGTTACTCTAAAGGTGTGGTATTCTGCATACGTAGCTAATTTAATTATTAATGATAGTTCAAAAAATTATGTTAAATATGAAACATGTATGGCATATAAATTGATATCAAATAGTAGCACATAAATTTCTTAGGGTTTTGGGCTTTGTGTTACTATTACCTCTGCTTGTATCACAAACTCAAAGGGAGATACTGTAAAGTTCATACTGTCAAAAACCATAAAGTTTTTTATATTTTTATCAAAATGCGGAATATGTTGTCTATTTTAAATTTCTTGTTTCAGGAAGAAGAGTGAGTTAGTAAAAGCTTTTAAAATGGTTCAGCTAAATTCATTGTTTTAACACTAAAATGACCAACATTTTTACCTACTTGAAATAATTTGGGCTGCAATAAGTAAACAAACATAAATGTTTGATTTTTAATCAAATTACAGTAAAACCTCTTTAACAATGTAGGAGGGATATAATATAACCATACAATATTGGATAATATATGGTTATAGGAGGAACCTTGATGAAATAGGGTTATAACAGGACATGCTTAGGGTTTTTTTCTACCAAATATATTCTTAAAATTATTTTGTACAATTTAAGCTTTAAGCACTGTTTTTTATTCTTTTTTCGTGAAATTTTTTTAACTGTTAAATTAGATTATCTATTTTTAAAACATTTTTTTTTAACTTTTGCTCCACACCGGTAAGTTTATTTTCTGCTTTCTTTTATTTCAAACTCATTTTAAATTGCATTTTTATTTTTTATCAATATAGATTCGTTATAGAGAGTAATTTTTTTCTTTGGATAATTATTCTTAATTCAGAAATATCTCATTCATAGTAAAGGATGTGTTCTGATGAAGACCTTTACATGTTTTCATTAAAAATTTTTCTATTTTATTTTATTCTTCTTTTTGTTAAATATATATATAAATATATATTTATGAATATGTATATAAAAATATATATTTATGAATACATATATAAATATATATTTATGAATATATATATAAATATATATTTATGAATATATATATATGATATATTTTTAGGCCTGCCCAGTTCAAACTAGTAATAAATGGAAACTCCTATCATTATCAGAGAGTCATTGTTTTAGCAAAAATATTTTAATGCCTGGTCTCAAAAGCAGCTTAAAATTGTATGGAGCTACCTGTGCTGTTGCTTGTTCTACTATGGTAAGTTTTTATAGCTTTATTTCTTTTAAATGGTGATTTTTTAAAACTATTTTTTTCTATTTATGCAAGACATTCTTCTATTATTTTTAAACTTGTTTAAAAATAGTGGATAAGTTTTCACTTTTACCTAAAATTTGTATTGTTTTTTAAAAATGTAAAAGAAATTTCTAGTCTATAAAGCATAGCTGCCAACTGTTCTGAACTTTTCGGATTTGTTCCTAATTTTTAAATCAAATCTGAAAATCTGATATTTTTATAAAAAATCTGAATTTTCATAAAATTGCAGTATATTTGCTTTTAAACCAATACCTTATTCTGATCGCTGCAACAGCGCTTCCTGTGTTTATTGTGCTGAAGTAATTTTTAGTAGCTTTTTATTTGAAAGTACTATTCCAATAGCTGTTGCTGATCATTTCACTAAGATGAATCTTTAACAACTATTATTATTTTTTAAAAAATTTATTGTAGTATTTTAACACTTGCATCAGAAATATTTGTTAGTGATGTAGATTATTATTTACCTGTGTTTTATAATTTTCAGAAGAATAATTATGTATTAATAGGTAATGGTTGCTTTTAAATTATTATACCGGTATTCATAATTATAAAATATTAATATTATTAATTTCCCACACAAGATAGTGTTTATAGTTTTGTTTTACTAATTTACATACGGTATTTAAATATATGTCTATTAGTGTTATTATTTAATAGTTAAATTTTGGTCTTACTCTCCTAATTTTTGCGTATTATTTTGTCGCATATAGTGTTCCTAATTTTTGATTCCTAAGGTTGGCAGCTATGATAAAGCAGAACTTAACATAAAAAGTTCCTTTTTTCATTTTTATTTCCGATATACAGTGAACGCTCGCTACTGTGATATCCGATATAACAATAACTCCCTTTATTACGAATATGTTTCATGGTCCTGACAAACTTGCATATGAATTAATGTCATGCTTGTCTCATACGATATTCTCTGAAGCAATAAACCCCTGTAAAACTATTTTTTTTCCAAATTTCAACCTTATTTTCTCCATTTCTTATTGGTTTTCAAATAATGCGAAAAATCTTATTTTATAATCTTTTGCCATTTTTCCCCATCTTTTCTGACAAGAGAAGACTCACTGCTCAAGAGTTTCCATTCTTAGGATTGCCTCCCTTATCTCTTAAGAAGTCACATTCCTATCTGATTTCATTACCTTTATGTTAAAAGCTGATCATGAGTCACAAATGACCACAAGCATCACATTAACACCTGAAAGAGAATTTTTTTTTCTCCATAGAGGATGGGTAGAGCACCATTCGCAAACGAAAATCATTTTCATGCTTTGGACTCACTGCATACTTTGTTGGTTGACTTGACAGTCAAATAAATGAATAAACAAACAAAAATATCAGATTATTTTTAATAAAAACTGTTTTCAGTTGTGTTTACTACCTTATTTTCTGAATTTATTTCAATTGTTCTTAATATTTAACCATAATTACTACTCTGTAAATTAATTTTTTGCATGATATATAAATACATTTATAGTTAATACATTTATAGTTAATACATTTATAGTTAATACATATACAGTACAGAAACCTTTATCCGGAAATCAGAAAATCGGAAAACCAAAAAGCCTGAATGAAATTCGATAAATTTACCGCCATTTTTTTTTGAAAAATGTTTTTTTTCCTCATAAGGTTTTAGGATTCTTCTTTCTTTTTTGAAAGATGTTTACCTTACCATTATTTTGGAAATAATCATTATTGTATTAATTCATTGTTTTTTCTTCTTTTTAAGATTATCTCCAAATATTTAATTTTTTTTAGTTGGGTTTAATAATAAAAAAACTGGCTTTTAGTAGCAATTCAGAAAACTGGAAAAATCAGTTATCCAGAATAGTGATTGTCCCGATCGTTCCGGATAATCGGTTTCTTACTGTATAAAATTAAATTTTAAAAAAATCCCAGGGATGTGATTCTTCCGCGGATTCGCAGATTTCCGCTGAAATTTTTTTTTGCACAAGTTAAAATATTTTATGAGGAATTAAATTTTCCGCTACGCGAAAGTATTGAAGTCCTCATTCCTACCTCAAACATTGATTTTCGTAATTACCTGATTTAAAAGTTGAACGTTGTGATTCTTAATCAGGCGATTTAAATGTCGTACACTGCGATTCTTATTTACGAGATTTAAAAATCCAATATCGCGATTTGTAATTACGCTTTTTTAAAGCCCTATATAGCGATTCATATTCATGCGAGCTTAAAATCCAATGTCGTGATTCGTTTTTGCGGTTGTAATATCAAACATCCATTTTCCTATTTATGTGTGCTTTAAAAATTAGACAGTGTAATTCGTATTCGCACTATTTAAGAATTACACATCGTGATTCGTATTTACGTGATCTAAAAATTAAGCATCATGATTTGTATTTTCGCATTTTTTAAATCCGATATAGAGTTTCATATTCATGTGATTTAGAAGCCTCATTTCGGGATTCATATTCTCTTAATTTTAAATCATGCATGTAATTCATATTCTCTTAATTTCAAATCATGCATGTGATTCATATTCTCTTAATTCAAAATCATGCATGTGATTCATATTTATATATAAATGCAATTTTAAAATTAATCATCGGGATTTATAATCACATGGTTTACAAGTTTAAAAATTGCACTTTTTTGTCAAATTTCTGTATATACACTGAGTGGCCAAATTATTATGACCACCTCAGAGTTTTATGCAAATGAGTTATTGCGTCACAGCGTTGCCGCTAGAGGGCAAGATAACCATAACACGGGAATGCTGGACAAGTGAGTCATCAGTTATACTGTGTTGCTTGCTCAGATATGGGNATATATATATATATATATATATTCATTCTTGAATTTCCTCTTTTTTACTTTCCAACTACTCTCATCCCTGGTATCCCCAAAGTATGTAGGTCCTTGATATAACAATATATCCCTCTATAACAATATATTTATTTGGCCCCCAAAATATTGTTGTAGCAAGGTTTTACTTACAGAAAATATTTATTTAGAAAAAAAAAACATAATTTCCTTGATTGTCTTCCTCCCATTTGTTTTTAAGTTTCAATTAATACTTATTGAATGATCCTATTCTATTTTTGTTTTTTTGAATTTCATCTTGAAAAGATTGGGTAGTATTTATTTACTTTCCTGATTAATATTCATTAATTTATGTCCATTAACTGCGTAAAATGCAATCGCAATGCTCTATGGCTCTTAATAATCACAATTTAATGTCACCCAGTTGCAATTATGCAAATCCACTCTGAGTGGAGCAGTGAATCAGAAGCCCTGTGTCAGGATTTTTTCTGGCTTTCTGCAACAAAATTCTCTAGCACTAATATCTTTCTGTAAGATACTTTCAGTTATAACAAAGATGTGTGCTACTAATTTAAGGTAACAAAAACGCTGGTTTACAAAAAAAAAAAAAAAAAAAAAAAAAATAAAAAAAAAAAAAAAAAANTTTTTTTTAATAGAATATGTATTATTTTTTTGATTCTAATATACTATAGGGGATATTCTCGGATTTTGTTCGTGGAGGGGAGCACACCAATTATTTCCATTGTCGCATTTTGTAAATCATCATCACATTAAATAAATAAATATCATGAAATCGGTAGCAAAAACAGATCGGCGACGAAAGCACGCAAATCAAGACTCTTCAGAAAGGGGTTACTCGAATGTCTGTTTTGTTTCAAAATTTAATTGTTGTGATAAATAATAACTTTCAAAAATATTGGGTTTTAAAAACAGTGTGGACATTTTAAGCCACAACTGCCAAAAAAAAAAAAGAATTATGGAATCATTGCCTTAAAAAGTAAATAATCAAAAGCGCGATTTGAATTTCCCATGTTGCCTGAAATATATCGGAATATCTAAAGGCCACATGAAAATCACTGTCAATAACTTTCAAAAATGCAATCAAAATGGATTTACAATATCGGCGTTAATTGAGCGTTTAAAAATGTGATTTCAAATTTTATGTGTAGATTTCTGCAGAAAAGCACACCAATTTGTTTTTTTTAGAGGAGATTTTTTTTTCTTTCTGCAAGAGCTATGCAACATTCCGTGACCATGTCGCCGCAATTCTACCACAGGGATCAGAAGTTAATATATGCAATGAAAAAAAAATTTAACAGGGTGCATAGCATTTTTAAAAAGTGCTTAAAGGTGCTTATTTTGGATTTTTGTTTCTTAAAAACCCTTAAAGGTGCTTTTTTTTATTGGATGTTTTTAAAAAGCGCATAATTTTTCCTTTTCGAAATTTAAAATTTAATTTGAATTGAAATTTAAATTGAAAATTTTTTTTCTTTGCCATGTAGATTTTTGCCACGTATTATGCAAAAGCGTATTTTACAGATTGTTCTATTCAATGTTTTCACAAATCATTCAAAGTCAATGCATTTCGGCGTACTTTCATTCTGTAGCGTATGATAGCGCCAATCATTTTACATGTTTGAGGAAATATTTGCTGGTCCACATATGCATATACTGAGCTGGATTCAGTGGGAATTATTCTTGCCCTATCTTGTGCAACTTGGCTGCATTTTGCACGAGATTCTCAATTTCCGACTTCATTTTCCTCCCTCTTAAATAGAGCCGAAAAATCTCTTTATCTTGGCTAATGTAATCAAGAAAAAGAGTTCTTTGACAGAAACTAGTTATTTTATCATGTAAAGTCTTTGAAAATTATTTTGCATTTTGTTAATGTATATAGTGCTTAAAAATATTTTTTAAGTGCTTAAAAAGTACTTAAAAGGTACTTATTTTTTTCCTGAAAGCTTTGGTTACGCACCTTGTTTAATCGAAATGATTCTTCGTATTTCTATTGTAGTATGCATTTTCCTTGATTTCTGATATTTCCAAATGGAGTGAATGGGAGCCATGTGGAAACTTGATGTTGATGCAACTAAACACTACTGAACAACTGAAATCGGATCGTTTCATGCAAGCTAGCTACATAGTGGGCATTCAAAGGGGCCTAAATATACAATCTTATACAGCATTTTACCAGTAAGTATATGCACGAAGACTGATTAAATGTCAGAGAAGAAATTTTTAAGTGTGAGGTCGATTTTTGTGGGCATAAATATTGAACCCTGGGAATTAATTAAAATTTCTTGTGAATGTGATCTTTTTTCATCAAAAATTTATAGTTATAATATTACTTTTATACGTAAAAATAACTGTCTCTTTATTTATCTTCTATGTACATAAAAAATTAGGGGTCTGTTTAGAAGACATTTGGGTCTGTTAACAGACCCTTCACAAAATATCTTTTCATAAAAACGGATCCTTCATAAAATATTTTAACTTAAAAATGGACCCTTCACAAAATCATTTATCTTTCAATCGGACCCTTCACAAATTTGTTTGTCTTTATTATTATTTTGTAATTTAAATAAACCCTTCGCAGGAAGGGGGAGAAAGAAAGACAGATGTAATAGGACTAAGTTTTGTCTTTGGCAGCCGCTTCTTCCTTTATTCATCCGAAATGAATATTCTGCGTTCAGCAGTATAGCCTAAATATCAAATATTTGTATGTTGCATCTCTATATTAGTAGCAGAAATTGCTGTTTATTTTTGAAAATGTAATTTTTTTAAATTATAGTTTTACAGTGTTGAGCATAATCTTGTATGTCTTTACAATTTAAAAACTTCTTGAAAAAGTTTTTTGCAATGACAGGACCCTATTTGCACAAATTCACAAAAGCAGGACCCTGGTTGAAAGAATGTTACTTAATGTTTATTTTATATTCACAAATTGTGAGTAGTTTTTTCACAATTTTACAAAAACGGACTGTTCACAAAATGTCTGGACAGACCCCTGAAGATAGAAAAAAGAAAGAAAAAAAACTACACTTTGAAAAAAAATTCTGATGATTTATTTTTTCAGAAATCACATATCGGTATATTATTTAAGAGTTGGTTTCTGTATTCATGTTTAACAGTATTGGATTATTGAAAAATTCTCATACGATTTGTAATTATAAATTCAATATGTGTTTATCAATAGTTTATGTATTTATTTTATAATTTGTTTACATAGTATTATTAGTGAAATTTCAGTATGTTATTTTGTCGAATATTTATATAATTATAAAATTAAATTATAATATACTCTTTTGTGTAATGTATAGAAGAAATACAATTTTGTTTGTTTATTTAATTTTTTTTTTTTTAGAAATTTGTAAAAATAAATTTATCCTCCGAATTGTTGCTTTACAGTTGTGGCTTATTTAACGACTATATATGAAATAGCTTAAAAATTAACCCTTTTATCTTAACTAGATTACAATTCCAAACTATTTACAACCTGTTTTAATATGTATTTCCTTTTTTAAAAAAAGAGTTTCTTCCATTTCTTTCACTTGGGTTGGAAGAAACCTATTTCTTCTGGGGATGCTTTTCCCACAGTTTTTTCCTTTGTGGAAGAGACTTATTTCCTGCTAAAAAAAACTATGAAATTAGAAAGTTCTAAACATTCAGGCAAAAAAAGAATTATAAAGAAAGAAAAGAAGATATTTTTTATTTTGAAAGATATATTCACCAAAAGGTTTTTATAGAACGATTTATAATAAGCTTTAAATAAATGATAATGATTTTATTTGATAATAATAATTAATTTTATTAAGGGATGCTTTTAATAGAGATTTTTCAGTTATTTTGTTCTTACAGGTTTGATTGTAAAAAGTGGCTAATTTTATAACTCACTGATTTTATTGGTGGCAGTATATATATATATCTATCCAGTCAGACTTCTATTTAACGAACTTCCACTTTGAAAATTTCTCTTTTTTGCGATTTTTTTCGATGTTCCAAGAAAATTTTGGAAATTTCTTCGTAATATAGCTTCCAAATAACAAAGTGAATTTTCTATTTCACGAACTTTTCATTGATATCTATTTTCCCTATTTCCCAAAATATTTCCGAACATTTTAAACTTTAATGCATTTTATGGGGGAAGTGACCTTGAATTGATTTTTGCAACCTTTTATAGAGAAATCAGTAAAATCTCTTTTCCTTTTTGTTTGCATTTCAAACGAAAAGCTCAGATGAAACCGATTTAATCAGTAGCAATTAAACTTAAGAACGCATGTGGTAATGAACGTTTAAAATTACTTTTATAATAAATGCAGCTATAGTTTTATACGTAAATTTAACTTTTTTTAGTTGAAAATGTATGTAGCATGTAGTGGATAATGTTTTGCTCTATTCTTGCTTTCCATGCATATTTCTTTTATGGCTAAGATTTATAAAATAAATAGTAGATACTAGTTTTCATGAAAAAGGTGTATCAATTGCCATTTTAATTATGTCTAGTGTTTATGAATTTAAAACCTGCTTTGTGTTTAAGTATTTTAAAAGGTGATTTTCTATTTAATAAATTTTCCACATAATTAACTTACACAATCCAGTCACATTAATGTGACCACCACCTACTTTCGACGTCAATCCAGGTTGCAGGAGGGAGCATTATGGTTTGGGGAATGTTTTCCTGGCATTCACTGGGTGCACTTATCAAGACATGCTGGATCAGCACAAGTACGCATCTGTCCTTGCGGACCATGTCCACCCCTGCATGCAAATGGTTTTTCCTCAGAATGATGGCATCTACAAGCAGGACAATGCGAGGTGTCATACAACTCGCAGTGTATGCGCATGGTTCGAAGAGCACCAGGATGAGGTTACCGTACTCCTCTGGCCAGCAAACTCACCGGATTTAAACCCAACTGAGAATTTGTGGGACCACCTCGATCGGGTTGTTCACGCCATGAAACCTCAACTGTGTAAACTGGCAGCTGGCCATGGCACTGGAGTCGGCATGGTTCAACATCACAGCGAACACCTTCAGAAACCTAATTGACTCTCTTCCTGCACGTCTCTCAGCGGTGCGCTCTGCCAAGAGTGGTTATTCTGGCTTTTGACAGGTGGTCACATTAATGTGACTGGACTGTGTATTACCGTGATTTAGCAACTTGTTAAATACAGGTCCCACTGTTCATATGTATATATTGCGAGCAATTTTTTTTATATATTGCAGATTTCTAAGTTTTCCTTCCAAGTGCACTAAATGGATTTTATTCTGGAATGCCAAACAGTTTGAATTTATGTTTTTTCTATTGCAACCAGCTGTTAGCAAAAATTGTAAGTCAAAATTTTCTGTTTCAAATTTGATATAAAATTATGTGCTAAAAATATATCTGATTTCTGTCTACAAATCAGAGGTATGCCATTCTCTGCAATTTTGCTATTTTTGCTTGATTTATATCATAAATTTAACAATTATAAAATTGCAATAATTTGATTTGTTGAACTTTGGGGGCATCTACAATTTATATAAAATTTATTAAAAAAAGCTATTTATTCTATCAAATATGTTATTTCCATATTTTTTGGACTCTGGATTTATGTTATAAAGATAAAATAATAACTTTTTTTTAATCCTTAAATTTAAGAAGATGAATTTAGTATGATAGAGATTAATTATTTCTAAAATTTGAATTGATCTTTTTTTTTGAAGATTTTATCTAAAATTATTTTAATCTAATTATATTCAATAATTATTCAATTGTTTCTTTAAAAAATAGTCAATTAAGAGATTGTTAAATTGATTTTTTTTAAGAAAAATGCTAAGTTTTATTTAAAACTAGAAAAACAATTTAATTAAATCAAATTGTAATTTCAACTGATTATTAAATCTTCAGATTAACTCTTATCAATAAACTATTTCAATTGAGATTTCAATAAGTAATGATAATTAGTAACTAAGAGTACAGTTTTATAATGTGAAGTGAAATTTTTAAATATGTTTGTAAAAAATATATTTCTTTAATTTAATTTGTATTTTATTTAATATAATAATTCCTTTAATTTATATTTTTTATTACAGTTCTATTTTTAATTTCAAAAACATGTTTCAACATGCATAGTTCAACATTTTTCCTAGAACTGTTTTACATATCTGTAATCATGATCTATTGTGTTTAAATAAATGTTCAGAGTTCAGTTAAATCACTCTATTTCTTCACTGTTCAATTTTTCTGCTTCTAAACTCATACCAAACTTCAATCACATGTAACAACCAGAGTCCTCATGATTTAAATTACTTGATAAATTATTGGATACTACTAGATTATTTGATTTAAAGAAAGGCTTCTGATTTAAATCACTTGACTTTTTTTATAATAAAAATCATTGATTTATGTTGAAAATATACTTTATTAATGAATATTTATAAATGTATTCTTAAGGTCATGATTTTTTTTAATAGTCTGATTTCATTAATATTCAAGGTATTATCCTGACGAATAATGTCGAAGGGTTATGCATGTAAATTATCTTTTGATTATCAAAGGATAATTAGACTTTCTTTTTAAGGCTAAATGTAAACTAAAGTGATTTGAATCTTTTAAATGATTATTTTCCATTAGTAATAGGTAAATAATTTGTCATTCAATAAGCATATTTTAATTATAACAATTTAGATTCATTTATATAAATAATTTTGAAATTTCTTAAACATACATAATGATATTTTTAGGTATTAAGTCTATAAGTAATGATATTAATGAATACATAATTTATATATAATAATGAATATATGATAAGAATGATATTTTGAATTTATAAACAATGATATTTTTGGCGAAAGACTTGTTTTGTGAAGAGTAATTTAGAATAATTGAATTTTTTTATGCTTCCATGTCTAAATTTATTTATTCTTTATTTGATATATAAGTGACAGATTAGTCTTTGTCTTTAGAAATTCTTGGAAATATTGAGCTTGTATAAAAACAACTATTTTATTTTTTCAGTGATTAGTTTGTAATTAATACATAGTAATTTTAACAATTTTGGTTGGAAGTATTAATTTAGTTATAATATCATTTTTAAATAACATTAGGTTTTATTGGTTTACCTGATCAGAGCTTTTAATTGGTATATGTAATAAAAAAATATCTGAAAATTAATTTATTAACACTAAAACCAGCACTTAATGTATACCTATTTCTACCCATAGCCGGTCAAATGAGCGATCTTTATGTTTCTTGATTGAATGAATAAAATACGGATGTTAGGAAGGAAATAAACTAAAAAAACTTTGCTATAATTAAACAAAATTGTATGATGCCAATT